TCCCTACCGGACGGTGATAAGTTCCGCGGTAGTTGATCACTACCGGATGGTGATACGTTCCGCGGTAGTTGGTCAGGCGTGGAGCCGGACGGTGATAAGTTCCGCGGTCCCCATTGCCCAGGTTTAGGTGTGCTACCGGATGGTGATACGTTCCGCGGTAGTCACGCCGTATTTTGACACCGGATGGTGATTCGTTCCGCGGTGTTCAAACCCATTTGAGGGGCACCCCATTGTGAGGGTAGTCATGTTTAAGAAAGTAAGTAAGGCTAGTAGTGGCGCCAGCTAAGACGAGGTAGGGGCCCCAAAGTAAGCTAATGGATGAAATAATACATTTTTTAAGAGTTAAAGTTTAAAGGCGAAGGTACAAACAACTTTCATAAGTTTAAGTTCGTGTCTTAAGTAAAGTGCTCAGGTATTTGAGGTTTAAAACGTAAGGGCGTAGACTGACCCCATCTCACTCACCAGTTTTAAAGAGGACTAAGAGGAGTTAGAGAGCAGCGAGTTCGAGTGAAGTTAGCTAGAGGAGGACGGTACGAGCGGCACAGAGGATGTCTAGTCAGAGTTTTTCGCACAAGCAGCAACACTGGAGACTAGTTAGTTATTATATTTTATGATTATGAGTACAGACTGGAGATTATTTTGAGATCAGGTTGAGATTTTAAAGTTTGAGTTTAATTTACCCACGTGTTAGGGCTTTGCTTCGAACTTCAAGTGTGTTTTCAGTATTTTTATTTATGTTAAATTTTTTCCGCTGAAATTTAAGGTTTGAGCATTTTATTTATCAAGGACGTTTTAGTAAAAGTAGTACCCGGCCGGGTTAGGGTGTTTCAGATTTTGTCCCCTAAAATCAATAATGAAATTGTAAACTCAATAAAAATTGGTCATTGCTTTCCATGGGCGTTTCAACTTCTTGCTATGGAAGTGCTAGTGAACTTCATTTGTTTTTCTTGATGCTTCTGTTCTTTGCACCACGGGTTCTAGTCTGATGTTGTTTCTTTAGCAGACCAAAATAAGAAAAAATAATATTAAACATGTAACTTCCAACACAAAGAATCATCTAATCTTGCTGGTTAAATCATTAGTGTGGTTGGAAAAGTACCAGTTCATGTTCATCGCTTGGACGATCATCATGCCGACTAGTACTCCCAGCACTATGTCCTGTATGCTTCTTAGCTCCCTTCTCTGCTCCCTTCTCTTGTTGACTAGTATTGCTCCTAGTACGTGCCCCGATCTGTTAGAGGGCAAATAAACTCTTAAGCTAATAGCCATTTCTAACAAATCGATAATTTAGTGAATAAACAAATGATATATAACCTTCTGTTGTGGCTGACTTTTTCCCATGGGCTCTCCAGTAGTATTATGCCTGCTCGTTCGTTGCTTCTGGTAAAAACAAAATAACAACTGTAGGTTATTAACTCTAATAACTATATCAAGAACACCTAACCAGAGATGCTAATTACCTTTGGGGGCTGACCACCTTGGTCATCATCTCCATCATCGTCGTCCCCATCTTCTCCGTCGTCCCCATCATCGTCCCCGTCATCGTCCCCATCATCGTCCATGTCATCGTTGTCATCCTCCTCATCAGATTGAGATTCTACCACGTCGGCTGGGGGGTTAGTACAAGTGCTCCTATAATGCCCATCCCTTAGCCCGCAGTTCCCACACTTTCTTCTTTTTTTCTTAAGTTGTTTTTTCCCTTTTCCTTTCCTACAACCCTTAAACCTCACTTGATTTGGGTTCAATACATCTTTGAACTTGTCTGGTATGACAATCCTTTCTCTCTCGGCGGGGGGTTTCTTTACCATCTCCAACTTGTTACACGCTGCTGTCAACTCATCTTGAGCCATTCGATAAGAGAGAGGAGTGTCTGCTGCTAATAAGCAGAATCGTTGAGCCATGAATTGTAGCGACCCGTACCTAATGCTGAAACTGCTGTCATCCCCCAATGTACTTGGTTCTGGCAGAGTGTGTAGGGACTTTGGGTTCTTCGAGCAACGTCCGAGTACCAGTTTTTCAGGAATAGTCTTCACTTTTTCTTCTTTGAGAACAAATAGCATATGAACGCAGGGTATCCCAATACTCTTAAACTTTTGACAACTACACTCCATATCGCTTGTTTCAATGTTGTATTTCACCTCTACGACCTTCTCTTTGTTGAACATGGTAACAGTGTAAGTGTGTAGGTTCCCCTCTTCAGTTTGGTTACCCTTAATGACTCCAATAACCTCCTCCAACTCATTTTTCAACAAAAGAAATGCTGCCTTTGAGAAAAGCTTTGCTGCACTTTGCTCGAGGGGCTTTAGGATTGAATTCTTTATAGGAACTACACCATAATTAGACTCAAAATCTAATCTAATCTCTGTCTCTCTCATGTCTCTGAGCCACCGGTCGTATTGAGTGAAAAAGTCAAGCAAACAGAACCTCTCATTTTCATACCTTGCAACAACCGCATTTATGCTTTCACATCTTGATGTGGTTGTCAACCCATCAAAGAAATGTGAGCGCAAGTATGTGTCCGCCCATTCCTTGCGTCTCCCAAATAGTTTTTTCGACACCCTTTGGTTGTTCTGGAGTTCGCATTCCTCTACCAATGCATTCCATTTCTCCTCAAATTCTTCTGGCTCGTACTCAGCAGTTACTAACTTCTTCCACCGGGGTTCAAACTCGGGTCGATTCTTCACCCTACCAGTGATATTCTTGGACAAATGCCATGCACATAGCCTATGTGTTGCATTTGGAAACACATTAGCAATAGCTTTCCTCATTCCTTTATCCCCATCCGTGACAACTGTACGTAGCGGAATGTCCCCCAACATTTCCTTCACTATCTTCAACGCCCAAATATAGGTTTCGTCAGTCTCATTGGGCAACAGTGCACTCCCGAATAAGCAAGTTTTGAAGTGATGGTTGATACCTACAATGTCAAACAAAAACTCGGAAAAATCAGAATCTTTTGAACCAGCAGGAGAAAAGCTAAAACTGTGAGGAATATGTAAACAATGGTAGAGTTCATATAATCAGAAACTTGCTGTTTTCTAGATGCCATTATGTGTATTCAAACAACAAAGCAAAGGATAATACTTAGAGGCCATACTAGGATGGCGTACCTATAAAAATGACCAGTGGCATATTGTAAATGTTTTTTTGGTACGTTGTGTCAAATGCGAGCAACTCTCCAAAACACGAAATGTCGGCTCTGCAAATGCTGTCAGCCCAAAATAAAAAAATGGAGCCTTTTTTCCTCATCAGTAGTGTATCGGAGGAGGAAGTGTGGGTCTGTGCTTTTCTTTGATTCTAGATAGGCCAGTGCAGTTGCTGCATCACCCTCGCTGATTCTCTCAGAGCGGTCTTTGGTGCTGAAATTTAACCCATCTTTAACTGTATACCCAAGTTTTTCATGCCCTCCAGCACAATGCACAGCAAGCTTAATGGCCTGAGAAGGTTTCATTCCGGCATCCTTTTTAAATCGAAGGTCTGCCTTGTCTGCTTCTGTTAATCCTCGATGCGACCTCAAGTAATGTACCTGATTCTGCCTAACTGGGTCATGAGTGTGCTGTGAGTTAAATATATCAGCCACCCATTTATTGCTTGTCTTGTTCAAGCTCACACGAAACATAGCCATGCATTGAAATCTGATCTCCATAGGCGACTCCCTCTTTTGTGGACCTTTATGTGTTTCTCGAACTCCCTGACAAGAACACACGAAGGCTGCACTTGTTACCTCGCCCTTGACGTTCTTAACCTTCCTTGAGCGACGGACAGAAAACCCCCAACTCTTAGCATAGTTGTTGTAGAACGCATATGCATCTTCAAAATGATTGAATTCCTGACCGATAAAAGGAGAATTTTGAATAACGTTTGTGTCATCCTCCTGTACAGTAGGACCATCGCTGTCAGAGGTCATTGTTTCTGGTATGATTTCAACATCGCTGTCTTCATTGTTGTTGATATTATCTCCCTCTTCATCCATTGGTGTGCCGTCTTTTTGCTGTTTGTGGGGAGGGGCTGAATCGGGCGCAAAGGAGAGGTCTTTTTGCTGTTGTTGTCAACCTAATCCGTTTTTCACGTGTTATTAGTTTTTTCTATTTTTTTCCGTCATGGTGTACAATTTTTTTTATATTTTAGTACTTTAAATTTTTATTATATTGTTTCCCGTTATGGTTACTAGTTGGATAAAGAATGCAACTATAAAAGAATGCTTGAATTACCGAAAAAAAAAACACTAAAGAATGCTTGCGTGTTATATATGGTAGATTCAACTTCCAAATAGGTGATGCGGATTGTTTCCATGTTAATTATTACCCGTAAAAATATTATTTTCCTTTTCCATGTGGAGGTTAATGAGAAAGATAAAGTTTCCAGTATCCTTATAGAGAAAAACACTCACCCGTTGGCCCTAGTTTAAGAATGCTAACTCCTTTTCTGCATTCACCAGGAGCTCATTCATGACAGCAGTACAGGAGTTCGGTCAGGGGGCAGAAACCAGGAGCAATATGCAGAACGATAAGGACGGCATGAGGATGACAAAACGCAAGACCAGAAGTTCTTCCAAATTAATGGTTCGTCAATTTGCATTCTTTTTTTTTTCGTTTTCTCCATCGTTGGCAGATTATTCTTCCAAACTTAATAAGGCATTGTGTTTTTATTACGATGAATTCTTTGCTGGAGAAGGATGAATCTCGAGTAAAGAAAGGTAGAACTGAAGATGGTGTGATCCAGATTGATGGTGATTTGCAGGCAGATTGGAATGACTTAGTTTGGAAAGGACGTACCAAATTTTCTTACTTACAATTCGACAAGAAGGTATGATAATCTAGCCCACCAATTTTCCCCGCTTAGAACAAAATCAATTGTTTTTATCCTTATGTTTCGTCTTCTATTGTAGGGTGAAACAAAGTTTACACTTCCAACACTTCTCAAGTACACTAGAGAGGAAGTGAACCTTGGCCACTACATATTTGCGAAGGATCTTCCACAAAAGGAAGTCGTGGTTGAAACCATGATGCAATCCTATACACGAAAGGTGTTGTGGTCACTCTGCCCTAAGTCTAATGTCGATGATGATGTAATTACAGCCATGGCTTGCCAATTGAGCCTGGAGGAAGTTTGGAGGGATGTTGGAGATGGAAGAGTAGTCTGTTATCTGCCTGCTGAACTACAAGTATAGTCCCGTTTACTTTGTATATTTATTTTAGGTGCAATATTCCATTTCTCCTATTAAATGTGTTATCTTCTATTTTAAATGAACCATGATCAGGAAATGGTAATTAACTATGGCATGACATCGAAAAAAGCTCTAGAGTGTTACGGTGCAAAGTTCTTGGCAAGAGCTCACACGTGCAGAAAGGTTTCTTCTTAACAATTCCTTTCTTATTTCATTGAAATATTCCTCAATTACTCTTTCTAGCTACTGTTTGAATTGGATATGCGAATAAATTAGATGTTCCATCAAGCTTTTGATATTTCTATAAATTTTATTATACAATGCTCAGCTGAGTTTGGTCTTTTTCGTCGTTATTTAGGTGTGTCTTCCCATGAAAGATGCAATGGACGGTGATGCAGTTCACTTGTATTTAGCTGTCATTATGCTGGACGACAAACAAGTCCATCTATTGGATTCGTATCCTTCTAAAAAGCGCCAAAGATCTCGTAGAAACGCAGTAGTAACTATGGTATGGTTTGACCTCCTAATCCTAATACAGTTATATCTCTAAATTGATTTGTGTATTCATCTATCCCGAATAAAGTGATTACTGCTTATGTAGATCGAATTTCTTGATGACTTGTTTGAGGATCTTTATCGGCAAGTGGAACCAACACTTGATCCACCTGTGCTGGAACAATTTTCTTTGACAATTCCTTCAATTCCCGAACAACGTCACGAGTAAGAATTGTTCGTTGTGAACAAATTAGAAACATACTTAGATACCCACCACTCATATGCTGCATCTTATTTTATGTAGGTTTGATAGTGGCGTTTGGGTGTGCTCATGGATGATGGGTGCATCTTGGGATGCTTCTTATTATATATGGGTAAGCAAGAATTCTCCTACTTGGCCTTGAAGGAAAACAACCTTTCGAAACAGCTACTAAGCCTCATTGTCATTGTCAAACTGTTGCAGCCATGCGGAGATATAAGGAGAATGCAACTAGCTTTGTATCTTGTCCAAGACCCTACAAATTACATAAGACATGTCGTCATCGAGGAAGCAAATAGTAATGCATCGAGATTTGTTGCCCAGACTCGTAGGTACAAGGAGGAAAGCCAAAAGAGCGTAATCCAGAACTAGAAGATTCATAGGGAGATGGTGGTTCATTTCTCCTGCAGTAGTATATTCTGGATATTTGGTTGATTAGTTCTCCTGCAAGTACTCTAGTTTTGTTTCCCTTTTCATTTTCGTTGAGAACCAAAACAATACCCTTGAATTGTTTGAATTGTCTGCTTGTCGCTTTCCCTTTTCATGTTCATTGAGAACCAAAACAATACACTTGTTATTGGGTTAAAATTTTGTTATTGAAGCTATTTGTTGGATCCAACAAGGTTATGTTTGCTCCGATGAACGCATAATCTCCGGCGTCCTCCGGTGGCAAGATATGAGATATCCAAAGGCCAAAGCCAAGAATTGGTGCGTTTTTTGGGCCGAAATAGAGACAACAAAAATCCCACTGACCAGGAGAAAGGTCAATAGTTTCTTGACGCGGAAACTGGTTCAGGTTTTATGAGTTTATCCGGTGTGGACTTAAGGGGGAAGAAAGTTCCAAGATGATGGTCGAGAAGGAAGTAAAGGAAAAAAAAATTTGGGTGATGTGATTCGAACCCAGAACCTCATTTAACTACAGTAGCAATTCCGCTGGGAATGGGGGAGAAACGCGCGACTAAATTTCCAGGAAACTAGATTTTGTTGTTTTGGAGGAGAAACTAACCACATTTTTTTACTCATATTTCTTATATTTTGTTGTGACAACAAAAAACACAAAATGAAATGGCAAGTGAATGGGGCATAAGGCTCAAGCCTGCGCCTTCTTTAAGCCTTAAGCATCAGGAACAAAGCCACAAAAACGTGAACCAACATTCGAATTTAAGAAAAAATAAAGTTAAACACCAAAACAAATCTAAAATGAATTCAATTGGGATCAAAGTGATAGTAAAACCGACCGACTACCAATAAAAGTATAAAACCGACCGACTACCAATAAAACAAAAAAAAAACTACTTTTCTAAAATGAATCAAATAAACTCTTTTGACATTTTGAGCTGATTTTCCCCTTGAAATGTGTTTCATAAACGGCCCTTGCTTCATCAATAATTTGAGAGCGCCTTGTATTTGAGAGATCTTTGACTAAACTTATGGCCAAGGATAGTCGACCTCTATTACTACAAACCTGCAGCAAATTTATAACATTACTCTTAACATGTTGATTTCGATTTGATAGTGTAGAATCTCACGTGGATGGAATCATATTTAGAAGGAAAGGATTGTATTATACCGCCGTATACGAATTATTATCAGCCTCTCCGTGCAACATCCACTGATAGACGTAAAACCCGCACTCATAGCTACGTGGAAAAATAGCATTTATTATTGAAAATAAGATTGTGAATCGAAATGAAATAATCAAAATACTCAAAGAAATACTAACTCATCAATTTGCTTAGAAACGTATGGAGGACTTATGATTTGGAACTTATGCACTTTGGGCATTTCATAGGTTGATGGCTTGTCTGAAAATTCTTGAAGCATCTTGTAAAAGAATTTCAACTGTAACAACAAACTTAACCACGTAACTATTACAGTACAAAAATTTAAAAAAAAAAAAAAAAGAAAATTGACTTACTAAATTTACACGAAGGGAATAGTTTGATCACCCACCATTCCTTGCACCCTTTTCTTACGATTTTCCAGCAAACCCAAATCAATAGGCAAAGAGTCCACTACATGAACTACCTTTCGGTCCATGAAAACCACAATAAGAAACCAATGGCGGTTCTCATCATTCATTGGCAAATATATCTGAAATAAATAAACAAGTAAATGATGACGAAAGAATGAATGGACTATACAGTAAAGGGCAAAACATTAAGAGAATATAGTACCCTGGAAAAATTACTAATATTATTACACCATACCTTGGTGCATTCAAAGGTGCCGCAAAGATATAGGTTCTTATAATTTTCCACGGCTTTTTTTGGAGTCCAACCCATTTTCACAACCAAATCCTGGGTAGCAGTTCACATTCACTATTCAACTTTGGGAGAAAGAAAAAAGTAAACTTACTGTAAAGAGTTTTCCATAATTGTTGCTTACCTCAAAATTGGATGGAAGATACCAAGGTCCCTTTTTCCCCCAAGCCCTAACATCAACAGCTAATTTACAAGCTACAGCAGTCAAAATCTAAAATAAGCAAAACCAAAGATTAGTATAGCTAATATGTGGTCAAGTATGCCTTACCAAAACAGAACTACAAAATACTTACATAACCATGAAGCCACATTTCTGGCAGCAAGTCCTTCAGTTCTAGACGACTTAAACTATGGCCAAAATTCTCAACAAGCCATTTATCATCTTGTAGACCATCACCAAAGATGAAACACGCAATGGAACGATCCTCATCATTATCTAACGCCATTATTGCAGTCACCGGAAATTCCACCTACGATTTGAATTTACCAAAACTTACAATACATAGGTACATCATAAACATTTTAAAATCACACAGGTGTAATTTCTTTAAATAAATTCTATATACCTTCCCCGATACATTTATATATTCCACAGCCGCATTTTTTGGCCTCTTGTGTGAATCATCGCCATCTGCATCTGAGTCGGAATCTATATAAATAAATCCGTTTACGCTAGGTGTGAAAGGAACAACAGTGGGAGCTGAACTTCCAGATGCAGTCATCGGAAATTCCATCTACGATTTGAATTTAACAAAAGTGCAAATTGTTTAAATAAATTCTATATACCTTCACTAACTCATTTAGATCTTCCATGACCGCATATTTTTGCCTCTTGTGTGAACCATCGCCATCGCGGTCTGAGTCTGAGTTTGAATCAATATGATAAACTCTTTTTACGGTAGGCGTGACAGGAACATCAGTGGGAGGTGAACTTCCAGATGCTTGATCAAGAATGCGTTTCGACAGCCTCTTTAGCACTTGAAATTCAGTATCAGTTTTCATTATCATTGCAGTCAAAGATTTAATCTTATCATACAACTCAGTGAACGTCGTCTCCATGGCTCCAAATGTAGTCGATATGGATCCAACAACTTTCTTAGTATCATGGCTCGACATGCTAAACAACAAAACAAAAGAAAGAACATACATGAAACAAACAAAAGTCATAAACAAACAAAAGTCAAAGCGGCTTAAGGAGCGAATAAAGAACATACATGAAAGGAAAAGGGTTGTAAGAAAGGAACAGCACAAACGACCAAAAGAAAGAGCTATTTTAGTTGTTGCACTGTACCGAGATTTCTCCATTTCAATTAGTTTATCTCCCCGCCAACACAGAAGAAAAGCCTTACTTTTGCTAAAGTCACCAGGGAAAATGGCAAGAGTTATTTTTTCAAGGTAAACTCTAGGCTTGGCGTCCCTTTATATAGACCACCAAACAAACCTAATTTATTAATACAATTACTTCCAAAAAAAGAATTCCTCTATTGACACCTAAACTGATCCAAATAAGGAAAGCAAGCCTATTAACAAGGAGTACAGATTAAATCCCCACCAATGACAAGCCTATTTACAAGCATATTCCTCTATTGCGTTTGGCTCCACCACCGAATGAGGGAGGCCATCTCCACTGGCTATAAAGAACACCTGAAGAATGAGAATAAATTTATCAGTAGCCAACCTAGTACTGTTTCTTTCTTGACCAAAAAAAATTTCGGCCATCACTATTTATGAACCGAACACAGACGTAATTACACATATCAATATGCATTGGAGAGAGAGAGAGAGAGAGAGAGAGAGAGAGAGAGACAGAGGAAATGATAGACCTTCAAGATATCGAAGTCTTCTTCCATCATAACAACATCTAAATCAGAGAATGCACGAGAGGGGCCTCAGTTAAGCAACACCCAAACATATCCCTACTGTAGCAAGATAATGTGTACAAATTATATACAAGCTTTAATGGAAGGTTTGCGAATTCAAAGTACAAAAGAGAAATTGAAGACCTACCAACGATGCTCGGCAAATGCTTAACAACACCGAGTCTCTGAATTTATCATTAATCAATAGGCATATCTAATCAAGAACCTGAAAATTATATGCAAGTTCGGCTAAGAGAAGGAGGCAAGACAAACAAAGAGGAGGCTCCATTGAAGGAAATTTCCCAAGCGAGAAGATCCAACATCACCTATTGGGCCTGGTACAAAAGGCCTGCTTAGTTTAGTTTTATGTTTTAATTTTACAAGAACTCATTTTATAGTTATAAATATAACAGTGGAAGTATATTGAATCAAAATCCTTGTTCAGCATGAATGGTGAAGAATGCCCATGGTAATGACCAGGACGCTGGTTCGACCCTCATACCATTACAATTTTTTTTTGTTTTCAGCTACACCTAAAGAACGACGCCGTTCTCCAGGCCACTTTCGATTCAGAGACGAGCACAAAACGATACCGTTTTTTCATGTATCGTCGTCTTCCCTAGCCCCCCCAAATTCCCAATTATCCAGTTGCCGCCGTCACCACCTGTTTCATTGGCGAAACTCGCGTGTTCAATGCGCACTGTTTTCAAGTAAACACACAAAACACAACGTTAATCACAACCGTCAAATATCCGTCGCCAAAGTCGGCGCCGTTGATTTGATTGATCGAACAGAAAACAAAGAAGATCGTCAAATATCCGGCGCCGGTGTCGGCGTCGTTGATTTGATCGATACACCCTTGACTTCTAATCAAACAACCGTTATTCGGTTCACCACCTCTCCAAACTACGTTCGAACGAGGGTGTTCGGCGAATAACCAGAAAATCGAACCGGGAGTGTTCTAAGTTACGTTACCTCTACTCCTATGGAGGTTCCTCTGGAGAGCTCCGCAACTAAGACTACGATCTACAACTACTACGACTCTGCAAAGGAGGTCTTTGACAGAGAAGTTCTACGAACTAGAGAGAAAAAGATAAATTCCGCTATGGTGCAGTTGTGATTTGATTTTTCCGTCCCTGAACTTCTCTCTCTTCCCAATCTTTATACTTCGCGCTTCTCTTCGTCGTAGTAACTGCCTTCGCGCCTTTGTCTCCCACGTCTTCACCTTTGTCAACCGTGCAGGTAACTTCCTCCTTGTTGCGTGATAATCACGTGCCCTCGAAACCGCTCTTGCTTTGCAGAAACCTACAACCTTGTCCATGTAACGATGTCGTTTCACCAACACCACGGCATCGCCTTTCATCAACCGGTGTCGTTTTATAATCCAACTCAACTGCCCCGACCCGGTTTAACCAACGACATTGTTAGTCCATCAAAACAACGTCGTTCTCTACTATTGCGCCATCGTTGGGCTTGGCGGGCTGCCTTTGGCCGAACTCTTACCATTACCACGATGTCGTTTTACTTCTCCGCGGCATCGTTTTCAACTAAACGACACCGTCCTGAATAATCATTAACAATATTAGTTAATCAATCCGGTCATCACTAGCTATGGCCAACGACATCACTCGCGCCACAACAACTCCGTTTGTTTTTCCCTTTTGCGACATTGTCTCTTATTTAAACACTGTCGTTTGCTAATCCGCGGTACCGTTGGGCTTACTCGCAGTACCGTTTTGAATTTAAACGACACCGCCGATATAGCCAAAAAATATTAATCCATGGAAGCGCCGCAGTCGGCGCTCTCATTGGGCCGGGTGAATTTTGGTCACTTGCCCGATATGATTTTTAATTGATCGGTACCGCTTACCAGGCTCTCGCGGCACCGTTTTTAAATCCGCGGTACCGTTTTAACTCTCCGCGATACCACTTGTCTCCATGCGGTACCGATTTTCCCCTTCCGACAAGGAAAGAGGATAATAATTAATTAGAGGAGAAAAAACTCCTTCTCCAACAAGAAACCACCGGCGCGGCCCCCTTTTGTCTTTCGGTACCGTTTCCATTGCGGTACCGTTTTAACTCTCCGCGGTGCCGCTTCTCACAAGGAATAAAAAATAGTAATTAAATAATCAAAACTCCTCCTCCAACCTTCATTAAACGTGCGGCCCATTTATTTTCGGCCTGCGGTGTCGTTTCTGGTGCTGGGGTACCGTTTTGATTTTCCGCGGCCCCGCTCAACTCCAAACGATACCGTTTTTTAACCCGCGGTATCGAATTAAATGCCGAGACTAATTAATGCGGCATTTAATTCTGGCCAAATTAATTTTAGGTGTCAACACTGCTGAAATTGTTTATCACCGGCGTCGTTAATCTCGCGACGCCGGCAATATTAAAAGCAAAATTATTTTTAGGTGTAAACAATGCCCCCACAACGTAGTTTATAAGAACTAGTTCTTATGAACTAAGTTGTCGACACAAATTAAATCACCTAAAAATTCTTAATGATTAAATCCACTTTGCCTAAAAATATTATACTACTCACGTGAGGCCAAGAGATTCTGGACACCGTTTTGAATTTAAACGACACCGCCGATATAGCCAAAAAATATTAATCCATGGAACCGCCGCAGTCGGCGCTCGCATTGGGCCGGGTGAATTTTGGTCACTTGCCCGATATGATTTTTAATTGATCGGTACCGCTTACCAGGCTCTCGCGGCACCGTTTTTAAATCCGCGGTACCGTTTTAACTCTCCGCGATACCACTTGTCTCCATGCGGTACCGATTTTCCCTTTCCGACAAGGAAAGAGGATAATAATTAATTAGAGGAGAAAAAACTCCTTCTCCAACAAGAAACCACCGGCGCGGTCCCCTTTTGTCTTTCGGTACCGTTTCCATTGCGGTACCGTTTTAACTCTCCGCGGTGCCGCTTCTCACAAGGAATAAAAAATAGTAATTAAATAATCAAAACTCCTCCTCCAACCTTCATTAAACGTGCGGCCCATTTATTTTTGGCCTGCGGTGTCGTTTCCGGTGCTGGGGTACCGTTTTGATTTTCCGCGGCCCCGCTCAACTCCAAACGATACCGTTTTTTAACCCGCGGTATCGAATTAAATGCCGAGACTAATTAATGCGGCATTTAATTCTGGCCAAATTAATTTTAGGTGTCAACACTGCTGAAATTGTTTATCACCGGCGTCGTTAATCTCGCGACGCTGGCAATATTAAAAGCAAAATTATTTTTAGGTGTAAACAATGCCCCCACAACGTAGTTTATAAGAACTAGTTCTTATGAACTAAGTTGTCGACACAAATTAAATCACCTAAAAATTCTTAATGATTAAATCCACTTTGCCCAAAAATATTATACTACTCACGTGAGGCCAAGAGATTCTGGACAGAAGTGGCATTGCAATTTTGCAATATTGATGAGCCAATTCGTTGGCTATGCTAGGCCTCACAACTCTCATCACCAATTAGTAAGCCCAAACAATATTGCGACTATTTTAGGAAGAAAAGAGAGAACGAACGATCATCACTATGGCCAAGTTGATCAACCCTTGATAACACTGTTGCAAGCAAATTTTGGCCAAAACAAGTCTGTTGTTTAACGTCGTTGCTACTCACCACCAAATCCGTTGGCTTCTGCGTTCTTTTCCCCATATTGCAACGTTGCAGCAAGTAGCACCCACCAATGCTATCGAATATTGTCCTAAACCATAATTGTCTGATTTTTTTTTTTTATATACACAGCGGCGCTTTTGCAAACTCGCAGCGGCATCAGAACCCCAAACCCATTACCCAGTCTCATTCTTTTTCTACCAAGGAAAGAACACAACCGAACATATCATGCAATCCTTCTCCATACAGGGTTGGGCCTACCCTCTCTATAAATAAACCACCATGCCACCGCCATAATCCCCATTCCCCCTTGACAACCTGCGACAGTACTCGCCAGCCCGCCGCCAACTTCTTCTTCGAGCATACAAAACACAGCCGGCACTCATCCACCACGGCGCCGCCATGGCTCCCGGCGGCTGCACACCTCCCCAAAAACAGTACTGAACTTCTTGCTCCCTTCTCGTTACTCGCCATTCAACGGCAACATTAAATGTAGTCATGTAGATGATGCTAGTACATATGCCCACGTAAACTTGCGGGAGAATAATGGCATGCATATATATATGTTCTTGCTTCATTGTTTTGTTTTTACCTTTGGTACGTATATTATTTATGCCATTATGCCCTTGTGAATAAACGATAACGTACCTGCTCCTGGTAGTTTTACACTGGTTGCTTTATCTCCCTTTCGCGTTCCATGCCGCCGCAACTTGCCTCGTCGAGTGACCGGGAATTACACATCCGATCATGAGAATGACTGAACATACCTGGTTCTTTTATTGGCAGGCCACCACCGCCCGACCTCGCGGCCCATGTATGCAGCATCGATGATCCCCAATAAAGATGGCGGAACCTAGACAACTCTCCCGCCATAGAACTCGACACACTTTCATTAACGGACAAGGGTGCGGGTTTGCACGGCCCTGCCATAACCGATCGTGACGATGAGTCCATAAACAAGCTAGATGTTTATCCTGTTTCCCAAGCCAGGCTCCTGCTCCGTCACGCACCAACTCCGTTCTTTGCCCAACAGAAACCGAAACGAACACTCTCTTCCTGGGCTCTCTCTGGACAAGATTTTGTGAGATGGTATTGTCGCCTACTCGCGGATGCAACCACTATCTCTCATTGGAGGGATGCTAGCATAGATCGCTTCTTATCTCTTTGTGCCCATCCTCCTCTACCAGATGCCGATTTATTCAAAGCTGCCATATGTTTTTGGTCCACAGAATCCAATAGCTTCGTTTTCCCATTTGGAACCATGATAGTCACCTTGCTCGACGTCGTCGCGTTAACTGGCCTCTCTTGTCATCGCTCTCCTACCATCGCTAGACTCCCTTTCAACCGTGATAACCCTATTCCCTTTGATCGCTCCTACCGCTCGCTCTACAACACCAATTCTCCAACTGACCCTGAGGCACCGATCACCGATGGGGAGCGGGCCTACTTTATCCATTACTGGTTGAACAAATTCATTCTCTGTCCCGGCGGCGGTCAACCAGTGCAAGCGATCAATTCCACCTACCAAATTGCTGCCGGGGAATGCGAGAACCTTGCTGAAGTGG